CAGCCCCGCCCCACATTCATCCCCGCCCAGATCTGCGGGCTGCAGACAGGGGCTTCTCGCGTCGTCTCTTCACCCAACGGATTCATCCTCGGTAAGTGTTAAAATATGAATTTTGTCCGTTAAATGATTGTTGTATGTGTATTTCTATATAGTGCATGTCTTTTAACAGGAATTTACCGAGTACTTTAGTTGTACTCGCACGTACAGGGTTTAAGCGCGCCTTTTTTTAAAACAAGAAATTAACGACGCCAGATGGTGATTGTAGTGTTTTCTGAGGTATTAGCATAACGTTAACGTTAGTTCCTGAAAAAGGAAAGGGAATTTTCTTTAATTAACTTCTTGTTAACTGCATTTTCTGTTTCAGTACAAGACTGAAGTAAAGGTGAAATGACTAAAGTTAAGGTAAGCTCTGGCCTTCACTTAAGTTACCGTTACGGTTACGTTAGTCACCATCATGTACGTTAATTTTGTTCACTGTAACGTTAACGTTAAGTTAGTTAAATTAACTAAACTCATTATGAAACAAGTCTTAACTGTTTTATTAAATGAGGCTTATAATACAATTCAGTTGTATTCTTTTAAACTAACACTAACACAGTACATATTGTATATTTCTCACTGGTGTTAATGCAGTGCTAACATTTACTAATGAGAACTAATTGTATAGTGTCACTAACTGTAGATTTTATTTTTTGGTGTTCAGGTGTACCTGATAATAACTGAAGTGTGAGGTGAGTAAATTCTGAGCACACAAATATAACCTAAATTCATTATCACAATCTAATATATGAGTATGTGTGTGTGTGTGCGTGTTAGGTTGAGTCTTATTCTACTCTTATTATATTCATATTTTTTTGCAGCCACAGCCATTGATGTTGAAACACTGATGCTACCAATCAACCATCGCTTGATTATTAAAGGTAATGTTGATGCCTTCCTCATTTTTATTAGATTTTTAAATGTCAGGTTTTTCACAGATTTGTTGTGAGCAGTTTCTTGTACACACTCTTTTTCTTCTTCCAGAAGTTCCACCAGTACCTCCAGTAGTAGTAAATATTAGACAAAGATTTTTTTAAACTATAGTTTTTATTTTTATAAGCAATTTTACTGGGCATGTGTTTTTGTTTGCTTGGTTTTTAATAGGCAGAGCATGAAATGTCAACTTTGTTTCTACAAACAAATTTAATTATTCACAAACATCTCTAATTTAGTCCTTCTTTCCCCCTTTTAGTCTTATTCCTTGGAGGGTCGAGTGGTCATTGGACCTCACCTGGGTTTCACAACTGACTTTGGATCTGGTCTGAAACTGAAGTATGCTGAAGATGCCTTTTGCACTCTGGAATTTAAGGTAATGTCAACAATAAATATTGTAACTGAGGGCTTGTTTTGGGGGGTTAAACAAGGAATGTATAGGAGCACAAGTCATGACTCCCCTTGTCCCTTTGTTATAAAGGGCCGTGTTGCAGACACAATTTGTTTGTCTGTGCTGGAGACCAGAGGGGAAGCTGTCTTTAAAAGGATGGGGCTCTTATACCATATGTGAAGTTACCTATTCAGGTGAGTGGATTACATGCAAGTCATTGCAAATGCATAAATAGTGGGAAATTTTTACTGGGCAGCACAAATTAAGTGAAACTCAAAAAACGTTGAAAAATATTTGGAATATTTGCAAAAAACTTGATTGAAATGAATACAAGTGCTGTATCACTTCAATCAAGTTTTTTTTGCAAAATTTTCCTAATATTTAAATCATGAAATATTAGCTTGATGCAAGAAACATCCTGCTAGTATTCAAGAGCAAGTGCTGTGATGCATGTGTTAACTTTGCAATAAGTGTGAACCCAGCGTTAGATTATAGTCTGTAAACAGAAGGTGTAAATCAAATCAACTGTTTTAAAATGCTCTGCCTAGGTCATTAAAACCACTATTTGTTGTTGGACTGTTCTTGATTGTGTGTTTGTGATGGAAATGTTTTTCAGATGTTTTTGTTTAAATGATTGCAGTTTGACTGAGCTACAGTATTGTCAGCATATTCAAACTGAGCTAACAGTAATTTTGCTCTGTAGTGCAGCAGTAGTGTCCCAGTACTGTTGTATGAAGCTAACTGTTTGTCTGCCCTTTTGCTTATAGGTGCTTTTTGGGCACCAGTTTGGAGATGGAAGACAGACGAAGTCAAAGAAGCAGAGAAGACACATCAACCAGCAAGTGTGTAAAATTATCAGGAAAATGATTGACCTAGAATAGACGACTGCCTAATTTAGCAAGAAGTTTTGTCTCTCTCTCTCATGTATGTGTGTATATATATATATATATATATATATATATATATATATATATATATATATATATATATATATATATATGAGAGAGAGAGAGAGAGAGAGAGAGCGCACTCTGAAGCACTGCTTTTTATATGTATGCTAAATATGATGTCAGATTTTTTTTATTAATATGTTCTTATAATATTTTTTGAGGCTTCACCTTCACCTTTTGAAAGTTTTCTGAAATGTTTACACAGATGTCATTAAGCTGTTAAATAAATCTGTAAAATGTATGTGTGTTTGTTTTTATTTTGATTTTAGAGTCTTCTCAGATCACCCAAAAATGAAGATTCTGTCGCCATTTACGCATCCTCAGGTTGTTTGGACACAGAGGATTATTTGATATTTTTATTCCTGTGTTTAACAAAAAAAATCATTTTAACAGAGCTGGAACAACCTGAGGGTGAGTAAATCAAGATAGAATTTTCATTTTTGTGTGACCTAAAATTGCTTTGAAATTTTACAGCACCAAACTGTTAAATTACAGTAATCCGGGATATAACTGTAACTTTACAGTTAAATCAGGTATTTAAACTGCAACCTACTGCTAAATTACAGCAATCGTTTTGCAAATTCACAGTAAAATATAGTTAATTCTACAAGATAATACTGTGAAATCACAGTAACGGACTTTATTATCTACTGTAAATTTACAATATATGGTTGTAATTTCACAATAATTTAATGTGACAAAACCACAGTAAATTACTGTGAACTACCTCACAATAATTTACTGTGAATTTACATACAGTAATTTACTGTGAAAGTAATGCAATTTTTAGCCAGTAATTTACTGTGAATTTAAGGTCAAATTTTTTACAGTGTTCGGTTCGGTTCACGGTTTTGGAGCCACAGTTCGGTTTGGTACGGTTCGGTTTCTGTTTGCTGTGGGGTTAGGGTTGATATCATGTTAACAGCAATGCTAAGGGACACTTCACTTAATAAAAAGAACATCTTAACTTTTTCTTTATTAACTTTGTCATCGCATTTTTAGTACAGTCAGGATACCCAAGTAAACAACTAGAATTAAATAAATACCTCCAATATAGACTAATCAGAAGAAAAACTATTTTCTTTAGTGCAGCCATCTTAACTAAGTAAACTAAAATTAAATAAATAACTGCAGTGTAGACTAGTGAAAGATCTTCTTCAAAAACACCATAATATCCACATTCTCCGATGAGAGACTTGATCTCTGTGCAGACACAGACGCTCATTTTTGATTATCTAGGGTTTCAGTTAGATAGATAGGTTTCCGTTTAAATTAATGAAAAAATATACATATAATGTGTTTGTAAAGTGTTTTTTCATGACATATTCATCAGTAAAATACATTGCAGTTGTGTCTGAAACTAATGTTAGGGTTGTAGCCGGCTGTATGTTTGCCTCCCGATCTCTCACTCTCTCTCACCCGCTCCCTCTATGCCGGTCATTTATGTTACTGTAGGTCCGCCTTCACGACAGCTGATGCCTGTCATTTCTGTAGGTCCGCCTTCATGACAGCTGATTGGTCAGGAGACCGATCTATCATCATTTGGCTACGCAGCGCGGGAATGTGAAAAGCATGTCAGGAAGAGCGGGAGAGAGAGCGCTTTTTCCTTTGAACACGTTTTTCGTGTATTTTTCTGACATGATTATGATTTTCGTTGTTTTTGCTTAACTTTCATTTGGGCAAAATTATTTTGCATTACTTTTGCCCACTTTAAGTAATTTTGTGAGGTTTGTACATTTTTATTTCAATTGATTTGTATATTATTTTTTAGCTCCGCTCCTTCCCGACAATATAGCTGTATCTCCTCAAGTTCAGTCTTAGTGTAAGGTGGATAGGGAAAATGTCATACGATTTCCATTTTGCAAACACGTAGAAAATGTATTGTTAAAGACATCAGGTAAGAGGTGAAGGTCATCTTTGTTTTATTTTATTCAGTATAGGGAAGAATGCGGCGCACGGCGCTGAAGACCTTTTTTTCTTTTCATCAGTTTTAGCGAGGTAAAAGGGGTTATTCATGAGTTAGAATTGTTTTATTATATTTATTTCTTTTGTTTGTCTTCACTATCACCCCCTTGCTTGAGTTTAGGCATGCGCTTTGTCTACGACACGAATTCTATTCCTGTACTCAACTGGAAAACCAAAATGTTTCCACACAGATGACTTAAATGTGTTTGGGTGATCTGCAATCTCAGTACTATGTGAAGCAGCCATCCTGCGTCCAGTAGTAACGAGTGTGATGCTCACTCAAGTCACATGACATGACATGCACTAAAATACTAACTTTAGAATATAATATTTAGAACAAAACCTCATCATTATTGAAACAATTTAATTACATGTGATAATAAAGATGTTTAAATTGGTTCAATTAGTTAGAGACAAGTGACGTCAACCTCAACAATGGGCAGCAGGGGGAGTGAGAGTACCGTGATACGCCACGAGAGTTTTGCGATGCGTATCGGGGCTGGTGTATCGCGATATTTCGGTTCGGTTTTAATATCGTTACACCCCTATTGTACAGTATAGAGAATACCTGCTTGTGAAGCCCTGTTGTTGTTTGTTTCTTTGCAGATCACTTTCATGATTAAACAGCGACATATGCAGCAGAGCGGAAACTGAAAGTGTAAACAAGCATAACGGGCACCCTTTAAATACTAAATTCGATTAAAATAAATAATGTGTCTTGCCTTCTCGGAGTGTCTAAACTGGTGCCAGTAGCTCTCATACATGCGGCAGGTGGTTCTCTCTGGATAACACGTCACTGTTTTAATGTAAACCTTCAGGCTGCGCTCCAACAGCTGATTCACCTCACCGTAGTCATAATCGTCATATCTGCAGACACAAAACCATACGTTCATTAATATTCATTGTTGGATTTCGGGGGTTTTAGGACACTAGAGGGCGCTGTTGGCTCATATCCTGTCATTTAATAATTACATTTTTTTAATAATATTTGGGGGGGAAAAAATCCTTTTTATATACATTTATGAGACTTATAAATGAGGAATACACTAAAATTGCTGAAGCTGAAATAATAATAAAGCCTAATAATGAAGCTACAAATAAAGAAAGTTATGCAAAACAAAAGGAAAAACATCATTAAACTTCAATTGAGATTTGAACAAAAACTGAAAATATTATAAGAAATCTAAATATTAAGAAACACTATACTAGCATATGCCATTGTCCACACAAAAACATGCACAATTAAATTATACAATACCACACAATTTAATTGGAAACTAAACTTAAAGTTAAAAGAAACTATATATATATGTATATATATATATATATATATAACACTGCAAACACTAAATCCCAGAACGTAGTTTGCTGGACTTGTGCGTCTTGTGTGAAAAACAAACCAGATAAAATATAGACATTGGTTGTTATCTTTTTAAGTAATTTTAAAATAAATTTGAAATATTAGATAAAAATGTTGCCTTAGAAATCAAAAGAAATAAGTATTATGTGAAGTACTAAAATTACAAAACTGAATTATAGCTTTACAAAAAAAATAGATTTAGCTTTAATATTTTTAAATATTTTATTGAATATAAAAAAACTGATAATAACACAAAAGCGTGCTAAAATATACTCTTAAAACGACAAAAAATGTATTTAAATATGATGTATTTCCAAATATTTTACATTCAATAACGTATATATACAGTTTACTATAGTGTACTAGTACTCAAAATAGAGAAAATACTATAAAACTGATTAAATCTGATAACACCAAAAGCATCTTCAAATGTACTCTAAAATTTGACCTATATATATATATATATATATATATATATACACACACACACACACACATACACCTAGTTAAGCCTTCAAATGTCACTTTAAGCTGTATAGAAGTGTCTTGAATAATATCTAGTCAAATAATATTTACTGTCATCATGGCAAAGATAAAATAAATCAGTTATTAGAAATGAGTTACTAAAACTATTATGTTTAGAAATGTGTTGAAGAAATCTTCTCTCTGTTAAACAGGAATTGGGAAAAAATAAAAATAAATGGGGGCTAATAATTCTGAATTCAATAATATATACATATACACACATTTCTTGATTAAACAAAGTGTATTTTAGTTATTTTTTATATTTATCATTATTAATATTATTATTATCATTATATATTTACACCATAAAGTGAAAGATTGCAGATTTCTCTTTGACATAATAATGTATGTACACCTGAACTTACCGTATCCCGTACATGCAGTGGACATAGTTGAAGAGAGCCCTACGCAGCATACTAGTATCCACACCCTCATGACTGGCCATGTTATAATACGTCAAATCACAGGCCGTTCTGAACTTATCATCCAGCAGGTGCCCGATGTCAGAGTACAACCGGTTAACCAAAGAGAAACCGTGATCCTCCCACGAGTAGTCCTACAGAACCAACAAAAGAACAGTCAATCATTCATTCTTAATGTGGTACTGAAAATAATACTGGATGCCTGAAGGTGTTCGTCGTCGTACTTGTGCTTTAAATGTCGGTGGATTGTCTTCTCCGTGTCGTGCAAAATCTTGATATCCAAACGATGGGTCGTCTACAAACCGAGCCACGGGCGAAGGAGGAACCACTTCCTCATCAAACCCTGGAAATGCAAATCACACTGTTTTAAGTGCAAAGACTAACGATTACTGTATCATTTATTCTTTTTAAGAATTTCTACTGATGATAAATAGAAAATAACGTCATAAAGAACAATAAACGTCAATACAAGATTTAACAGAACATATATTTCAGAGTTTTCATGGTAATTCATGCCTTTAAATCCCCACTTAGTCATCACTGTAATGAACAGCAAAGGGAAAAGGGAGGGTTTGGGGGTCGGACATAGCAAAAAAAATCTATAAACTAACAGTGAAGTGTTGTAATTTTTTTTTTAGATTAAGATTTTAGCCTCTTTTTCACTGTGTAGTATGCTCACTTAGTTGGGGTTTGCTCTGGCTTGGTTTGTATGACAGTGAATCCGCTTGTTAAGTGTGACATCACGCAAAGCAGTTTCCAGATCCAAGCGCTCAATTAAACTGTATGTATAACTGGTGAGACTCATTAAATGATGGTAATAATAAACGTTTACAAAGCGCTGTAATATTTTCGAAAATCACGATTGCAATATATATGTCTATATCTTATATCCTCTGGCCAGAAAGTGAATCATTTTTTTTATAAATCGTTATAGTTTTGGTATTTGTGATGCAGCAAGTACAGAGATTGTCGTTTACACCATGATTTTATATGCAATTCACTTTAATGTGTGATATGAATAAAAAGTGACCATAAACTAATATTTTCGAATTCAAATGAGTGGCGGCCTGGACCCGGAAACAGTTTTTTTATACGTCACCAACACGTCACCACTAAACAAGCGGATTGTCAGTTTAGTATTGCTGAAAGTGGGTGGGTTTATTACTGTAACTCCCACCGTATTGCTCTAACATCAGTGATCAGCATTGTGTATACATCACGTTTTGGTAATAGGGACGAGGTACTTAAACAGTACTTGGTAGAAAAACCTCCAAAAGTGAACTGTACCAAACCAAATCGTAGCATGAAAAAAAAAAGCTGTTAGAAGTTTCAGCTTTTATTTGCATGTTTTCTGGAATTTCCACATTTTGGTTCCAACAGTGAAATGAATGCCTTAAAATGGCATCAGATCTCAACTCTAAGTAAATTGAAAGTAATTTTGGTGCAGTTTTTGTAGTGATAGTGTCTCAGTCTACAAAAAAATCTAATATTTTTTACGAGTGATCCTAAAAAAAAATCCAACACATTTTTTAATGGCTGTAAATTTTGACATTTCTAGCTTTCATATTGCAGAAAAATCTACTTGCCTAACGTATGTATGTTCAAAAATTCTTGAGTCAAGGTAAGAACAAATAACAAATATCTTTGAGACAGAGAGCACATCCAAATGATTTTTAACTGTTTATGTTCATTTAACCAACTTTATTTTAAAAATATCCTTAGGTCAAGTTGACATAATCCGACAGATTTTTTCATTCTGGAGCAGTAACGCATGAAAGACACTGGCTTTCAGACAGACAGACCTCTGTATTTCATCCTGACCAGTGGTGTAAAATAACGTGTGTATGATAAATGTGTATGATTTTTCAGTACTCTTCCCACCACTGATTCTGACAACAACACATGAAAAACAAAGTTAGATATAAACAATCTTAGTGTTGTAATACCTGCAGACACCACCAGGAGACTCTCTTTCTTCTCTTTCTCGAAGCGAGTGAACATCTCCTCCTCTGACGCATCATCATCCTCTCTCTCCTCCAGCAGTCGCTTCATTCGCTCCATCAGAGCTTCCAACTCACTCTATAATGCACAAGAATGGAGTTTAACAAATCTGATGCTACTCCTATGCAATAAAAATAAGTATACATATGTACACAAGCCCGAAATGATTCATACCCCAGGCTTAAAGTTCCTTTTATTCAACCAGCAATTTTTTTTTTTTTTTTTACCGGAAACGACACCGAATTCTCCCACAAGATAATGAGACGACATACAAGAGGCATCATTGTGGAAAGAGATATTTGTCAGCTTTTAATTACACTTTAAGTCAGAATTTGCCAAGGGTATGAATTATTTTGGGCTTGACAGTGTGTGTGTGTGTGTTTGTGTGTTTGTGTGTGTGTGTGTGTGTGTGTGTATATATATAAATATATATATATATATATATATATATATATATATATATATATATATATATATATATATATATATATATATATATATATGCTGTAGTAGAGAAACATGAATTATGGGCTGTATAGCAACCTCAAAAACAAAATACTGAAATACCATAAATGTAATTTTGGCAAAAATGTTAGTGATCATTTTGTGTATGACTTGTTTTTGCCTTCTGCTGAAACATGATCTGAACATGTCTTCATGGAATGCAGAGAGAGAAACAACACATGGACACTTTTGTAACGTTGTCGTACCCCAGTGTTCGGGTTCCCGTTGGCTTGGTTGCTGTTTGTTAGGTGGCAGGTGCATAAACCCTTCATGACTGGAGGGCAAAGGTCACCTGTGACCCCGTTGACTTCTGTGACCTCAGGGTCAGGGTTGACACCGCTGCCAAACACAAAACTAGCCAGGGCGTGGAAGTGAGCCAACAGTACGACCGCGTGAACCAGCTCTGCCAGAGACCAGCTGTGTTCTCCAGTCTTCACAAGAGCCTGAAAAACAGAGTCAGATGAGGACATTTAGGTTGCAATCTTATGGCTCATTTACACTGAACAGTAAATTACGGTATGTAGTACAGTACGATAGTGTTGTCAAATACATAGAGGTTGGACATGACATTTTAAAAACTTTTTCTCTAACATTTGTGTTTGGTCTAGAAAAGAGGTTTGTTAAGGCGCATTGTTGGTGGATTGCTATTTTAAGGAACTGAAATAGACTGCGCAATTGAAAGCAGGTCTAAATTCCAGCGCAGAACCTGTTTGTTGTGTGCCTTAACCTCATACACGTCGCTTAATGCACACAGGATGTACAGCAATACGCAATTGTCTTTACAAAAGGATCAAAATATTACAAAAATTATTATTTTCTCAATCAATGTAAAAACCACTACCTCCATGCCTTCTTCATTTTAAGGGGCTTTTTTTTATTTTATTCATGACAATTTGCTTTTGTATAATGTTATTTTTATAAGCAGTTTTATTTATTATAAGCATATTTATATTTTTTTAAATAAAAACAAGTTTAGATTTGTCCACCTGTTGGGTTTTGAAGATGTATGCGTCACAATATGGGGCAGTAGAATAGGACGTGTGTTTGGATATAACTCAGTTTTTTGACCACACTTCATTATTATTGTTCATTTATTAATTTGCTGGAAATTAAAACTGAATTTAGAAATAGTTTTGAAACAAAAAATTAAATATAACAGTTGATGGACATCTTCAGTGAAGTGCGTACAACACCGATTCCCTATCTACCAAAGTAAAGGAGTACAGAGAAAGTAAAGAGGCCAAATTGAGGAGGCACATTCTTTATCCTCGTGCTGCAGATGGTTTGTTTAACTGTTTTCTTGCTAGTGAAGCGTTCAGTTTCTGCACTTACAAAGTCCGCCCATGTAAATAGCAAATCCACTATGGTGCGACGCAACTGACTTTTAAAGGGAATGGGAGATGAGACTCTGATTGGTTTAATGGGCATTATACTCAATATACACCCATAACTCATTAAGAGAATAAGCACAACCCTGTTAGACTGTGGTGCAGAGCATATTTTTCCATCCTTAAAGTAGCAAAAGTAGACTCTGACTCGCCCTTAATGCTTTTGCGCACTGCACTTTAGATTCTGCGCCTAGATCGTTAAAATAGAGCCCTAAAAATGAGACCTTAATAATACAATGGCAACCATGCTGAAACAAACTCAAATGTCTTCTTGTGATAAACAGTCAAATGCCAAGAACTTGTTTACTCTGTGTTCATTAGTTTTTTTTTTCTATTTAATGTACAGTTCACAACAGTATTTGCCCTTCTGTGAATTCTTTTTTAAATATTTCCCAAATGTTTTTGAACAGAGCAATAATTTTTTCACAGTAATTACTATAATATTTTTTCTTCTGGAGAAAGTCTTTTGTTTTATTTTGGGTGGAATAAAGAAGAATAAAAGTTTTAAGTTTTTAAAAAACATTTTATGGTCAATATTATTAGCCCCCTTAAGCAATATTTGTTTTCGATTGTCTACAGAACAAACCATTGTTATACAATGACTTGCCTAATTACTCGCCTAATTAACCTAATTAACCTAGTTAAGCCTTTAAATGTCACTTTAAGCTGAATACTAGTATCTTGAAGAATATCTAGTCAAATATTATTTACTGTCATCATGGCAAAGTTAAAATAAATCAGTTATTAGAGATGAGTTATTAAAACTATTATGTTTAGAAAAGTGCTGGAAAAGATTTCTATTAAACAGAAACTGGGGGAAAAAAATATACTGGGGGCTAATAACTCAAGAAGGCTAATAATTCTGACTCCAACTAATGGGTTTACTTGTATATGTTGCTTGGTGATGAGCCAGGGTCTGTGCGCGAGGATCTTATTAATCTCGTTGAGGTTGCGAAGCCGTTGCGGGCAGAACTCCAGACCTCTCAGCCAATCAGAACAGACTCCAATCTGCTCAAACTCTTGCACATGGTGACATACTAGCGTGGAGCACTGATGCCTTGCTGCAGCCTGGAAGACATGGAAAAAAAAAACAAATCCTTCATGCAACTATACCAACAGTTTCACAAAGTGTCCATTTAAAGTGTTTCTATGTGCGTTTGTACCATTATTGCGATATAATGCCTGTAGTGGAGTGGAAGAGGGCCGTCCATCCTCAAGAGGTAATAGTGGCAGCGCAGGAAGGCTTGCAGGTAATGCGGATGGAGGCCCATCACTTGTGTCAGGTTGTCCATGCGGCCGCTGAACTCTTCATCCAAGAGCATCACTGTGGAATCACTCAAAGGCATTGCTCCTATGATCTGGATTCGGGGAGTGCAGACAATAATATTAGTTTTTTCCCTACTATTGTATTAGGGCAACATCCCATGCCTGCAATGTCACCCCACACCTTTTATTTTAACATTACTTTCTTTATATACACTGTAAAAAATGCAGGGTCCCACACAATTCCTTCATTTCTTAATTTTCCTTCGGCTTAGTCCCCTATTTATCAGGGGTCGCCACAGCGGAATGAACCACCAACTGTTCCAGCATATGTTTCACGCAGTGGATGCCCTTTTAGCCGCACCCAGTAGTGGGAAACACCTATACACTCTCACATTCACCCACGCACTTATACACTACTCATAATTTAGCTCATCCAATTCACCTATAGCGCATGTTTTTGGACTGTGGGGGACACATGGAAAACATGCAAACTCCACACAGAAATGCCAACTCGCCCAGCCAGGACTCGAACCAGCAACCTTCTTGCTGTGAGGCGACAGTGCTTACCGCTGTGCCACCCTGCCGTATTGTTCAATATCAAATATAAATTTGTAATAAGCGCTCCAGTATTCTATTATAAAATAAGAGATATGCATTATACTAGTCAACTGGATTTAGCTTTTTCATTTTTCGTAATGCGAGAAGGCACCACCGTGTGATGTTATGAATTTAAGCCAAGAAACATTTGAACTCTGGTTCAGGTTCATCTTAATTCAGCAAAGTGAGGACAGATGCTATAATTCAATTTACAATCCAAATACACTTTCTTAGATCTCCCGGCAAGCTTAACTCGAATTCGGTGAAAATCATCTTCTGAACCGGCTGAACTCAAAACAAAAATGAAATGCACAACAGCTGACAAGAGAAAAAAACGGTTACAGTATATTTGCTGGGTGAACTTGAATTGAGGGAGAATGTGAGTGGGAAAAATTAAGAAATTTCCATAAAAAAAAAACACACTATACAGATACTTTAAGATTTATTTAACCTACTTGATGTTGAAAGACTATATATTATAGTAGTTTAGGATGCACTACCATTCACATTTGGGATCAGTAAGATCAAAATAATCAGAACAATTAAAAAATATATATATAAATATAAATAAAGTTTTCAATATAATAATTAGGTCTGTCACAATAATCAATATATCGACATATCGCACAACGCATGGACATGACCTCAATCATTTTTGGTGATGCAATAAACAGTTGAAGTTTTTTTTATATTTGCCAAATGATGTTTAACAGAGCAAGGAAATTTTCACAGTATGTCTGATAATATTTTTTTCTTCTGGAGAAAATCTTATTTCTTTTATTTCCGCTAGAATAAAAGCAGTAGCAGATATCGCAGCCTGTTGATGCTTTTTACCTTGCACTTTTTTGTTAACATTTATTATTATTTATTTAGGGTATGTGTTTTCACATTCTGATTCCAATGCCTAATTATTAAATTGTTAAACTGACTATAATTAAATAAAATATTCCTAAGAATGAAATATTATGTATTCTTTTTGTACTTGCATTATGATTTTATATTGTCATTTTGGCATTATATAATGAGTGGCATAAAATGGTCCTAAAATGACATATAATTTATCGCAATATATTTTGGTGTAATATATCATACATCAAAAAATAGATATTGAGACAGGCTTAATAATAATAAAAAAATGCTTTTTGAGCACCAAATAAGCATGTTAGAAAGACTGATGATCGCATGATACTGAAAAATTAATTAGTGATGCTGAAAATTCCAAATTTGCCAAAAAAGGAATAATAGATTTTTTTGTTATATTTTTTATTAAATTAATTTAAAATTATATTCATTGTAATAGCTCTAATATTACTGATTTACACCATATTTTTGATCAAATAAATTTTTCTTTGCAAGCTTATCATCAAGATAAGATAATACAATGGCTGCATCCGAAATCGCATACTTCCATACTATATAGTATGCTGCAAACAGCATGCAAGCTGAGTAGTATGTCTGAATGCGAGAAGTACATGGATGACCTACTACTTCCGGCGAGATTCTGAAGATTCATAATGCACTGCGAGAGAATTCATGAATGGGAGTGAAGCGACGCAACTGACCCGGGTACATCACGTGATGATAACAAAATGGCGCATGTAATATGTCCGAGTTCCATGGTTGTTGCTAGATTAGATATGGATGCAGCATGGAAGTTAACAAAACATTTTTATATTATTTAATAAATTTCCCATTAAATTAATTGTGTTTTATTAATGTCTACCCCCACCCCAACTTTAAACCCAGCCATCACAGTAACGTAAATACAGTAGTTGTATCGAGTAATATTTATGTTACCTAAATTACCCAATAAATTTTATTTTTTAACGTCTACCCCTACCCTAACTCTAAACTCAACTGTCACAGCACTGTAAAAATATTAATTGTTGTCATACAGTGTCATAAAAAATGCTGCTGTATTCATGTGCATATCGTACTTCCGGCCAGCCGTGTATCCTATCTAGACTTTACCAAGTTCCATTCATGCTACTTGCATTCATTCTGTATAGAACATACTTTTCTAACAGCCTAGTAATACGCTTAAATTCAAATGCAGTATCTACTGAGTTGTAGGCAATTTCGGATGCAGCGAATTACAAATGTTCATGCTACAATCATTGAAGAGATATTAAAATTTTTTTGCATTACCTCGTTTTCTGGAATAAATGAGCTTGGTCCTGTTGATATGTGTCTTGACATTTTTTCCTGAGGGAAAGAAACAAAACAATATTGTGAATATATACTCACGACATGATTCAATTTGTTACATTTTAAATTTGATAAAACATTTATTTACTGAAGTGTATGCAGTAAAACATTATCAAGCAGTGCCTTAACCAATAGTGAGAGCTTAGAGATGGGACTATCGAGTAACAAGAGAATCCTTGATTCATCATGGTGACATTTAAAACCACCAAAAGGACTTTTATTATTTTAATTTCTTAATCCAACTGACAGAATGTGCAAGTTCAGACTCTATGGGGTACATGCCGAAGTATGCTAATAGGACTTTTGATTTGCCAGTAACTTGGGTTATTAACTCCAGGTGAACTGTATGCGGCATGCCAATGCAAAATTGGCGTGTTTAAGGTCTGTTTTCTTTAAAAATCAGCAAACTCCACTGGCTGGGTGATATCTAATATAACGTGGTTCTCAGATTGTACAAGAATCACTGCATTAAATTACATTTTTTACTTAAGGATAAAATACTTTAGAATAAAAAGATATATTATTAATGAATAATTTGTTGATACTATGAAAATTTTATATTCATAAATGTCAATTTTTCTAGACTAGTAGTATTTAAAGAAGATTTTGTGATATATTTAGAGACATTAAGAGAGATGAAAAGTCAAAAAGCAAGATATTTCATATTTTAGGAACTTCAACTCTCCTGCTACATTATTTGATTAATATTGATAATGAATCAATATTAGTGTATCAAATACGAAAACTGATGTTTTTTACAGCATAAACTCTGCTACTACATTTTTTTATTAATTTTGATATTGTTTATTTTATTTGTAAATTTTTGTTAATTTATTTATTTATTTATGAAGTTTCGGGTATAAGGCGCTGTAGTTTTATTAAAAGGTGTATGCTGAGCACACATCTTGGAAGGAATGCTAATAAGCTTAGGGTCATCTCCAGTCGAGAAAACATGGAGTGACATGGTGTGATGTGCTCGCATTATCATTATTACTGACACCTTACAAATGTTGATTTACCCTAAAGTTTGATTTAATTGTTTAGCGTTTACACTTTACCATCGTGCACACTTTGTAACATTTTATTTATCAAAAGGAAGACTTCAACACTAATGTTTATCTTATTTTAAGATAAAGACACACACACACACACACACACACACACACACACACACACACACATATATATATATATATATATATATATATATATATATATATATATATATATATATATATATATTTTTTTTTTTTTTTTTTTTTTTTTTTTTTTTTGACTGGTGAATCTATTTGCCTTAGTAATGTTGGTAAATTAAAAATAAAGGAGTAAACGTCCTAATATTTTAAGAATTTAAAAAAATATTTAATAATTTTCGATATCAAATGATATAACATTGTATCGTGATAATTATTATTTGTTTTTAAACAAAAACCTTGTAATAAACTGCAAGTAATTTTTTTTTTGTTAATACTTATTTTTTATATAGGTGTATTATTTCTTATACATTAGGCCTATATTATTTCAAACTACTAAAATGTCAATAACAGTCACTTAGTTAAACTGTTGAGTTGAATTTTCAACATCAAAAGTCAAGTGGAAAACACTTGTGAATCAAATACGAAAATGGATGTTTTTTACAGCATAAACTCTGCTGCTTCATTATTTGATTAACTTTGATATTGTTTATTTTATTTGTTAATTTTTGTTATTTTATTTCTTTATACAAGTTGTATTTTTATTATTAATGAGGATGGAAAGACTGTGAATGTACAACGACTGTTATCTCAGTCTATTTGTAATTTTTAAAAGAGCTTACTTCTGCCCAGCAACTGTGGCTCAACCAATGGCGCTATTCTGAAGGCGGAGCTATAATGATTACTCACCCAGTGGAGGGAAGGTGAAACGCGTTTGAAAGCAGGCATTATTTTAGTTACACTAATACCTCAGAAATTGCTCCCCAAACAAAAAGCTAAGGAAATTTCTTAGATAATACAGTAATAGTATCAAAGTATGTTTAATGTATGTGTTTTAAACACTTATTTGTGGCAATTTTGTGTCTCCCTGTTGAGGTTTGTTTTGAATGTCCCTCACAGACTTTTCTTTCTGCTGCAGTGAAAGGTAAGAAGTCCCATGTAAACCCTGTTTGTGTTTTGTGTGTGTGTGTGTGTGTGTGTGTGTGTGCGTGCGTGCGTGCGTGCGTGCGGTGTGTTTGTGTGTATGTGTTTGTTCCAATGACTGTAAAAAATATGGACGACGCGACAGCCCTTTTTCCCATTGAATGCCTTGAAGGCAAAACGCCTGATTGACGGGCACAAACTGTCGCAAAAGACTGCTGAAATTGGAGCCAGACATGCGCAGAAGGATTGTCTGATGGAGCCAGAGGAGGAGCCGCGAAAATGAGCAGAGTCGAGCTTCCAATCAAACGCTTTATGTAAAATCAACTACGCCCCCCGAACTTCTCAGCATGCGTTTGCGGTCATATCAACACAAATGGATGTAATAACGTTAACAAATATGAGGGTTTTATATATTCAATCGCGCCAGCTCCAGGCCGCAGCGCATAACTTACTCGCAGCGTCGCGGGCTGATTCCGGCTCGCATGCGGCAGCGCCTGCTCGCTCGGCCGCCGCATCTGGCTCGATTGACTCGGGCTGGAATTGGGTAGTGAGTCCAGGCATCCGGAGTAGGTCCAGCAGAGGTAACATTAGTCAGTCTGAGCTCTAAGGGCCTACTCACACTATGCCATCCGTACCGTGCCCAGGCCCGTTTCCCGGATCGTTTGAGAAGTGTGAGTGCGTTGAATCGGGCTCAAGCACGGTTCACTTGGCCGGCCCTGGCCCGGTTGGAAGAGGTGTGCCTGAGCGCGGTACACTTGGGCTTTGGCGCGGTACGCTTGTGTGTGAGCGCGAAACGCGCCAAAGCCCGAAACCGAAAGCGAGACGTGACTTTTAAGGGACTTTTTGATATGGATTTATTAATCATTCTTACTGTTCAGTGATCGCAAACTGCCGTAGTTTATTAAAGACGAGAACTCCTCACAGCACGCCAGCTGCGCGCCTTCAGCAGATCTCCTCATTCCTGCAGCACGAGAGCTTAATGATTGTTTATGAGCGCCAAAAGTGGCGGATCTGTTCGGTAAAATATCTGACTGTGTGTCCCCGCATCCCTAAGGACTGTTTGGCGAAATATTTGACTGCATGTCACTGCATAACAAACGACTGAAAGGATATAACTAGAGAAATCTTCACTGTGCTGCTAAATGAGAGCGTATGGCAAGCCGTTTTAACATTTAAACCTTGTTCTGACTATCCATAAATATATTTACAGATATAATTATATATTTTGACAAGTCATTATTATAATTCGACTTGTCAGAATGACAATTAGAGATATCTGCAATTACAATTGTACTAGTACGAAATCAGATTGGAGATATCTGCAAATATATTATGACTAGTCATATTCCTCCATTGACTTCCATAGAAAAATATTTGCAGATATCTCTAACTGAGTTTTGACTCGTCAAAAATCCAATTCAAGATATCTACAACTGTAATTCGACTATTAGTAAATTAATTAGAGATATCTTCAAATATATTTGTAAATATCTCTAAATATTACGAATTAAAGACATCTCCAAATGTATGACTAGTAAAAACTCAGTTAGAGATATCTCTAATTACAATTGTGCCGAGTCAAAACTCATTTAGATATCTGCAAATATTTTTCAATGGAAGTCAATGGAGGAATATGACTAGTCATAATATATTTGCAGATATCTCCAATCTGATTTCGTACTAGTACATTTGCAATTGTAGATATCTCTAATTGTTATTCTGACTAGTCGAATTATAATTATGACTAGTCAAAATATAATTAGAGATATCTCTAAATATATTTATGGAGTCAGAACAAAGATTTAAATGCTAAAAAGGCTTGCCATAGAGAGCGCTTCTGAACAGCGCAGCAGCGATGACGTAAGCGTGCCGTGGCCCGGTATGGTGTGAGCGCGGGCCGTCGGGGGAGACGGGAGGGGGGACAAGCGTGCTTTGGCCCGGTTCGAGGCAACTGTACCTAGTGTGAGTACGGCCTAAGAGATAAGTCTCCGGCAGGCGAGAATCTAGCCGGAACTGTGTTTTGCTATCTGGGTGGCTAGGCGTGTATCAGCAAACTAATAAAGCCCGAAAAAAGCCCTGAACTTAGCAAATAAACAGTGTTCCACCAGGATCATGTATGTCAGAAACTGTTTACTGCTGAACTCATTTTGTCATGGTAAAATAACACAGAAATCGAATAATAACATTTCAGTCTACTTCAGTCTCCTGCCGAAGCGCAGACGCCGCGCTTTGAGAAACTGTCAATCACAGCTGTCAATCACGATGACACGCCCAGCATTAAATTACTGCTAAAAACAAACTGTTTACAAAAATGAAGATCTGCACCTATTTCAGCACAATAACCAGTGCCTTAATCGACCAGAACTATCTTTCGGGACATTTTATTGCAAGTGTAATATTTTTTTTATTTGGGCTCAAGTCTCCTTCATTAACACGGAGGAGGCGGGCTTTATGACTTGTACTGCAGCCAGCCCCCAGGGGGCGATCTAACGGCCGAAACCTTCACTCAAACGTAGGCTTGCGGCACACTTGGTTTGTTCACTACACTGACAGATAGCCAAGGGTATAAGGGTCACTTCAGTTCAGTGGCCTGAGACCTGGAGACACCACCAAACCATTTTCCCTGTCATTCTCACCCTCCCTTTTCAATTTATCTATCTTTCCTTCCTTCTCTTCATGGTTTGGGTTTGTTCAGGATATCCCTCCGCCACCCCCCAGCCACCACAAATACACAAACCGAGTTGTATTTGCGGTCAGAAGTGTTTTGCCTTCACTCCTGAGCCCTTGATGGAAACCAGCGCTGTTTATAAAACACTAACCTCCAAGTACTAAGCAGTAAATCTGGTACCAAATATGTTTGCACAGTCAAGTTGGTTGTTT